CACCACCCACCCACGCCCCGTCCGTCACCATGGTTACCTGTGGGCCTGATCCCCAGACAAGCAGGCCCCGTGGCACCAAGTGCAGGCCCCAGACTGGTTACAAGCTTCAGGCGAGGGCAGCAGGCGGCAGGGGTCGGGGGGCAGAGTCAGGGCCAGCAGCCGACCCAGGGCCACTCCCCCAAAGCCCCCTGAGATGTACAGGCGGCCCCCCACTGCCGCTACAGCATGGGCCACAGATTCTTCCATCGGGGGACCCACGGAGGCCGGGCCTGGAATAAAGACAGAGCATTCAGAAGGAGAGAGCGGGACGTGTGGGAAGGGACGCTCGAGGAGATGCCGGCCAGGAAGATGGCTGCCCGGGACGGTTAAGGAGAGCAGAGGCAGTGGAGGAGAGACAGGAGAGTGACAAGGCCAAACAGAGCAAGAGAAGCAGAGCGAGAGCGAGACAGAAGAGGGAGACACAGAGAACAGGCGCAGGAGGAGGGGAACAGCATGGAGCTGGGGAGAGGTGGCCGAGCTGCAGGCACCAGGCTCTGCGAGCCAGACGCTGCACAGCGGCTCATTTGTAATCTTCGTTTGTAAATTTCACCTCAGTGATTTTTAATCCTCAAAAAGAAACAGAGCAATACAAATACAGATTAAAACAGAGACAGACAGCAGGTCAGAGAGAGAACCAAAAAGGAGAGAGGCCTTTCAGAGATGCAGTCTGAGAGCCGAGTGAGGCCAACGGGCAGGACACAGCCCCTCCCTTCTCCCCAGCGGGGGGGGGGGGCGGTGGTGGACACCGCCTGGACTCTCCAGCAAACCAGTGCTTGGGTCTCACTAGGCGCAGGGCGTGCCCATCCCCGCCCGGGACCCCCCGAGTCGCCGGCGGTGCCCCAGTGCGGGGTCCGCGCCCCCGCCCGGCAGTCTCACGCACCTCACGTAGGGCAGTCCTCCGGGGCGCGGGGGGGGGGGGCGGTGGTGCTGTCGTCACCCCTTTTCGCACACAAGGGAATGGAAACCTGGAGAGTTTCTCACGTGACTGGTCCATGGTTGGCGGGGAGGTGGTGGCAGGTCTTTCTTGACCCTGTTTATGTCACCTGTGTGCCTTTGCCTAGGAAGCAGTCCCGTCTTGTGGACGTTGCAAAAAGTTTTATTTGTGTTAAAGCGGTCCGCGAGCATTTTTTTTGGCCTCCGAGATGGTTGTGAATTGTCACCCAAATGCAACGCTCAGTGATGTAGTGGACGGATTCTTACTCATGCAGTTCCAGCCAGCACCCCCTGCGACAGCATTTCCAGCTTTAAGCTATTAAAGTCATTCCTGTGGGAAGCCTGCATTTGGCGCTCTGGAGAATGACACTTTTCCGAAGGAAACGAGGCTCTTCTCATTGGGGTGGCATGCAAATCGTGTAGAGCAATGATGTACAAAGTTCAGTGGGTAGAAACTTAACTGCAAAGACAGCAGGTGGACTGGAAGAGACTTCGGGACTCAACATCTCAAAGCGAGCAGTTTCAATCCCGAACGTCCCACCCACTGCCTGTGTGGCCTTTTCAAGTCACCTGTGCTTTTCCCAGTTGTAAAAGATCTCTGTGCTGCCTACTGCTGTTTCTGAATTTCACATCATCGCCATTGGCTGTCAGAACAGTTGTCTGTGTGAGATAAGTCAAGTATTATCTGTCTTACTGGAAGTGAAATAGTTCCCGAGAACTTAGATGTCTTTTACTCTCTGCAAGTTTTAGAGCCAGAACTGGAATCTAAGATTTGTAAACTCTTAATTCACTACCTGTTTTCAATTTTCTTGTTATTTTTGAACTCAAGCAACCTGATTTCTGTCACCCAGTTCCTGTAGAAAAATGTATTTTATTTTCTTAAGCTATTCTGAAGCAACTGACTTACTTAAGGACTAATTTCTGATATTACAGAGCTGTTTTTTTTTTTTAATGCACAAAGTGTTGATACAAACCTGTCATTTGTCATTCTGGGAAGTGAGTGGTAAGGGATATAAAAATGAAAAATAAAAACTACTTCACTGTGGTGGAATCATAGAAGGGCACTTGACTCAGAAGTCTTAAAGTGATAAAATCAGGTCAGCTAAGGGAATGAAGGTCAGAGAACAATAGTGTAGTATTTGTGTTGAATGTGCCATTAAATCATACCAAAGGCTGTATAACCTCAGAATATGCTAACAGCTAAAGGACCTCCTTACTAGTTGTGAGTCCTCAGCAAAATTACTTGATGTCACTCAGTCTGTTGTCTCAACTGCCGGGTAGGGGAGACTAACAGCCTCAGGGGATGTGAAGAGCTGGACGAGATGCATGTGCAAAGCCAAGGTCCACTCAGCCAGCTTCCCTTTTTCTTTAGCAACTTTAGTTTTGATACCAGTATCTCTGTGTTGAAAGAAATTTGTGTTCCTGAAAACTTATGGATAATCTAATTTCACAGGAGGTTTTGGTGCATGATGGAGGCTTTTTGTAGAATCATCTGTAAATAAATTATCACTCCTGCTTTTCTTTTTGTAAGTTGGGTTTTGCATATGGTGGTGGGATTTTCATAAATGGGGATACACTGAAAGAGTTGCCCACCAGACTGTATAGCAGCGGAGACCTGACTTGCTTGGGTGGTTCATGGTTAGTCATGTTATAGAGCAGTAAAGTAAGAGTAGGAGTAAGACGTGGTCTTGAAGGTTCTTTATAGATTTAGCCTTATCGGTATTGGTGACATCATCTTGGGACATCATCATGGCAAGCTCATAAATTTGTATAAAGCAGGAAGTATCCTTTTGCTATGGCTTCATGGGAACCAGTAGGTATCCTAACAGGTGCAAGTACAGCACTCCCTATAAATAGAAATGCTAAAGTGACTTGTAGGCAGAGGAGAACATTGGGAGCCATTTTCTCCAAGAGGAAAAAGAAATTTTGGTTCTTCTTTCTCATTTGCATACCTATGCTTAGACCTGTAATCAGAGGTAAAACCCAGTACAGTGCATGGAGCAGGTGGAAGTAATGAATCAGTGACTCAATGGCCCTCCTGAGAGGAGCCTCATACACGCTAACCAGCCAGACACATTGCATGTCTTCCATCAGGCACGCAACCGGAACATTTCCTTTTCCCGTTTTAGTTTTAAGTACTGAACATTGACTCAAGTACGGAAGTTCCTTAAATCTAGAAGAAGAAACGTGAAAGGCATAATCTGCCCAAGTCTTTCTCTTTACTGCTGTTTTAAAAAGTAAAAAATTGAATTCTTGCCCAAAAAGAATTCAGACTTGTAGGAACTGTTTGCAGTGAATGATCCTTGGGGACTAAAGTTCAAGAAAACAAGTGGTTTAGGCCAAAGGAGTCAGATTTTTCCTTGGATATTGTCACATGCCAAGTTAAATAAAATAGACACATTGGTAGCTTTACAACAATATGTACTGAAAAGCTCTCAAAGGTGATTTTTTTAAATTGAATTTAGGGACGTTTAAAAATCCTGTGTGGAAATAGGGGCCAAGCCGATGAGTGTCGTTAAGGGATGGAATGGGGACTGGGTCCTGAGGAAATTTCTTCTGGTACTGTCTTAACACTTAATAATGGTGATGGCTGCACAATTCTATAAATAAACTGAAGCCACCGAACTGTAAAATAAAAGTAATAAGAGTGCCTTTGGTGATAAATTGGCATAACAACACCTACTTCCATACAAGGAAGATAACATTTAAAATTGTGATGCCTTTTTAAAAGGAGAATTCACTTAGAAAGTGAATCATTGTTTGAAATAAATTGCTGCTTTTTATCTTGCATAACCCTGATACTCCAGCTCACATTTGCTTAAAGTGAGGCGCCTGCGCATGCTCCATTCTTGAGGGAGGCTGGTCGCTGCGCCCAGAGGGTCGGGCCGTGGCGACGAGACCTTCCGCCATCCTTATCCCTCTCTGGGTTCCGAACAGCTCCCATTGCAGGTGGTGCCTCTGTGTTCTCTCCTGGACAGGGACCGGGGCTTGGTCCCACTGGGGCTCTCCCAGCGGGCGCCTACCATCATGTATAGAAAGTTCTCCATAGTTGCTCTTTCATTGACTTGGCCCCTGCTTTTGGTAAAGAGGCCAGTGGAAGGGGAAGCCAGGAACCTCGGTGAACCGCCTTCGTGCGTTCTCATGGAGTTCTCACAAGGTTAAAACATGTGCCTTCCACTTTATAGGTGAGGAAAATTGGTCAACATACTGTGTTTAAAAGGGCTACTAAGATTGAAGACCTTTCCAAATAGACAAGATCCCAACTCCTAGCCCCCAAGAAGTCTTTGCTTCTTCCCTTCTCCGCCCCCACCCCCAGCAGATACTTATAAGTGTTTTTTCATGGACTGGCTTATTTCCTCTACAACAAACCAGTGAGGTGGCACTAATATTGTTCCCACTTTATAGATAAGAAAACTAGACGTAGGCCCTCCCTGGTGGCACAGCAGGTTAAAGCACAACACTAAGAAGCTTAAGTCACTTCCGCATGAGTTCGATCCCCGCGTGCCGGGAGGAGATCCACATGGCGCGGCAGACCTCTCCTGACCCGCCCGCTGCTCCCCTCAGCAGTGTACTTCCTCCATCTGCCTGTTCTGCTCCCCACTCTGTCTCTGGTGAATTCTCACCCTCCGCATCTCTGGCCTGTACCCCCCAGTTCTGTATGAATAAATAAATAAATCTTTAAAAAAAGAAAAGAAAACTAGACTTAGATAACATAGTTAACTGTTACTGTCAGAAGGTAAGTAACAGGGCTGGACCCTGCACATCACTGTGCGCTTATAGCCACTGCTGACAGAGAGCTCAGCGGTTCTCATTCCTGTGTCAGTGTGCAAGAATTACCCGCACCTTCCTTGCACACACCCTTTACCACCCGTTCCCCAGACTGCTCTAGTGGTTTTTAATTCCGGCTGTGCACAGAATCAAGTGGAATATTCTTGGAAATACAGAAGCCAAGGCCCTGCCCCAAGCTTATCCAGTCAGAGCTGGGAGGATGAAACTCCTCAGGGATACATGGGTTATTTTTTTTTTTTGAAAGATTTATTTATTTGTGCATACAGAACTGGGGTACAGGCCAGAGGCTTAGGGGTGGCGAGAGGCTTCACAAGAGACAGAGCGGGGAACAGAACAGGCAGATCGACGAAGTACACTGCTGAGGGGAGCAGCGGGCGGGTCAGGAGAGGTCTGCCACGCCATGTGGTCACCTCCGGGGCAGGCGGGGATCGAACTCATGGGGAAGCGGCTTTAGATTCTCAGTGCTGTGCTTTAACCCGCTGCGCCACCAGGGAGGACCCACATGGGTTATTTTTTTTAAAGATTTATTTATTTGTGCATACAGAACTGGGGTACAGGTCAGTGGTTTAGGGGTGGTGAGAGGCTTCACCAGAGACAGAGTGGGGAGCAGAGCAGGCTGATCGATGAAGTACACTGCTGAGGGGAACAGCTGGTGAGACAGGAGAGGTCTGCTGTGCTGTGTGGGTCACCTCCGGGGTGGGGATCGAACTCATGCTGAAGTGGCTTTAGCTTCTCAGTGCTATGCTTAAACCCGCTGCACCACCAGGGAGGGCCCAGATACATGGGCTTTAAAAAAGCAGTCTGCCCAGAGTTCAAAGGCACTGTGCTAGGAACAATCAAGAGTCCCTGTTCCTGTCGCTCAAATTTAGGCTAATGGCTTTAATTAGCTCCTTGATGAGGTAAATGTCTTCCCAGCTTATTTATGGATTCCTGTAATGTTTAATCCTGTCTCCTGAATATAAGAAGTGCTAAAAGCAACTGTCCAGTTCTTTTTGGACTTCTTCCAGTGATTGAACAGAGCCCATGGAGAACAAACCCAAGACAACCAGAACCATTTTAAGTAACTAATTTTCAGAGTGCTTCAAGGAGGCTGTCTGAAGGAATTTTTCCTTGTAAAGATGTTCCTGACAGCCCTTTACTTTTATGTAGATCACCAAAGAGCTTCGATTGCATTCCACCAGGATGTGCTGAGTGCCTTGTATATTCCAAACCCTGTGTTACGAGTAGTGGCAACAGTGTGCGATAGTCACCCCACGGGCCACTGGCAGACATTTCCCCTCCATCAGAGCAATTCTCACTCATGCTCTTCTACACCTAGCGAGAGTGAAATTTTAAAAGCGGACATTCTTCTCTGATGTGTGTTGCTCAGTGTGTGTGATCGAGTGAAAACTTCACACAGGACCGTAAGGCACAGACGCTGGCCCCTCTGCCTGCTGTCCAGAACTGTCTTGACAAGTCTTAGTGTCCTTCATCTCAGTTTGTTATGCCCTTTTTGACTTTTTGTCATTCACACCCCAGGAGGCATCCAGGATGTGGGAACATTGTGACATTCGCCCAATTTTTATTTATTGCTGTGGAAGGCTTCCTCTTTGAAGCTGATTTGGGAAGAAAGCAGCCTGCTATCCCATTAAGGTAAGGCACACTGAATTCTTTTAACTTTTGTTTTTTTATATAAAAAAAGAAGTTCAAAGCTTTCCTGGTACCTGTATAAAAAGAAGCTGAAGTGTCAGTCTGTAAGATTTGTATCAAAGATCAGTAGAGTAATAATTCATTTTCCGAATTTAAAGTGTTGTGAAACTCCAGGGTGCCTATTTTTTAATAGAATTTCTGCCACACTACTTAAATAACCATAACCATGTGTGAGTATGTAGGCAGTGAGAGGCCTGGTATACTCACAATTTTTTTTCCTAGGTCAGTATGTTGCACTCTTTCTGGGAAGGCTCTCATATGTGCTAAGAGAGGTGTCATTGTTTCTTTTAAAAAAATAAATGGCATTTGGAAAGAAATAGAGGTGATGGTGCTACAACATTGCCAGGATGCTGAATGCCTTGAATTGTTCACTTTAAAATGGATGATATGTAAGTTTTTGTTATTTTAGTTTTACCTCAATTAGAAGAAAAAGTTAAGGGAGTTTTACAATCTCAAAAGTGAAAAAAAAAAAAAAATGACAAGCCAAGGCAAAGTTACTGTCCAGATCTTTGTCCATTAGTACATGTTCACATGGCTATACTTGGGCCAGATGGAAGACAGGACTGTTCTGAAAAAAAGCGATGTATTGACAGCTCAGCATTGTTGGAGAGACTCGCCTAGGAGGGCGACCCATCCACTTGTGGGTGGTCTCCGGTGGGCTCTCTTAACCCCTTAAAGGTACATTCTGGTTGACTGTCTGAAGGCTCAATTCAAGCTCATCCCTTTCTCTTTGTTGGCAATTCTGCTTTTAACATAAAGTCTTGCCACAGAATTTTTGAGTTATTAAGGAACAAAGTCCTAGATGGTAGAATTACCATAAATATATATACATATATATGTGGTCATAAAATTATTTGAAAATTGACAGTTGTTAACCTTCAAACTACTCCATTGCCTGACCAAGCTATATTACTTAGCATTCGTTATAATTTGTTTTTATTTTATGTACTTCTAAAACCATTTTTGTTGAGGTAGTAGTGGGTTACAACACTGTGTTTATTACCCTCCTGTGGTAGAGGCCCATACATTTGCAGGTACCATTACACCACCACGCCCACCACCACTCACTCAGCCTCCACTGTAGTTCATTGTTCCCACACAGCACCTCACCTCTGGTAACTCAATACTGCGCTCACATTTCTAGGGTTTGTTATGATTTAGTTTTGTTTGTTCCTATGGTTTGTTTCTTTCTGGTCCACATCTGAGCGAAATCATCCCATGTTGACCTTTCTCCTTCTGACTGACTTTTCTTATAATCCCTGCCAGGTCCATTGGTGATGTCACAAATGGCCACATTTTATTCCTTTTTAATAGCCGAGTAGTATTCCGCTGTGTATATGCACCACATTTTCTAAGTCCACTCCTGCTAAGTGGCACTTACGATGTTTCCAAAACTTGACTTTTGTCAGAAATGCTGCTGTGGAGAATGGAGTGTGTACATCTTTTTGAATTAGTGTTTTTCTAATCTTCAGATAGCTATGGAAGAATGGAATAGCTGGATTATGTAGCAGTCCCATTTTTCATATTTTTGGAAAACTCCAAACTATTTTCCTTAGGCTGGATCAGTCTGCATTCCCACCAGCAGTGTCTGAAGGCTCCTCTTTCCACATTCTCACCAACACGTGCTGTTTTGGGTCGTTTTGATACCGCCCATTCTTGCGGTTGGAGGGGTATCTCATGCGGCTGGAGGGGTATCTCATGCGGTTGGAGGGGTATCTCATCGTGGCTTGGTTTATCTTTCGCTAATGGGAAGTGATGGTGAACGTTTGTGCACATGCCCAGTGGCCACTTTATGTCTTTTTGTAAAAGTGCCTGTTTAGCTCTTATGCCTGTGTTTTCTTGTGTTCAGTTGCGTGAGTTTAGGTATCTGTCCCTTGTCTGATGTATGGCATGCAAACGTTTCCTCCCACTCATAGGGTGTTTTTTCATTTGAGTGACTAAGTTTCCTTCTGCACAGGCCCTGTAGCTCGATGTAGTCCGTTTCTTTATTTTTGTTACCACCCCGCACTGTTGGCGCCGCGTCCCCACCGGCACCCGTGAAGCCAGAGTCGCAGAGTGCTCTGCCTCCCTCTGTCTGTCTGTCTGTCTGTCTTGTGGTTTCAGGCCTTCCATGCAAGCCTTTTGTCCATTTTGAGTTAATTGTTGTGAGAGAGTGATCTAGTTTTATCCTTTTGTATGTGGACATCGGCCTTCTCGGTAATAGTTGTTGAATCTTTCTTTCGCCTTTGTATCCTCTTGGCTGCTCTGCCATGAGCCAACTGTCCGTGTAAGTGTGAATTTTGCCATCTTCAGTTCTGTTCCGTTTCAAGCCTCATCCCTGTTGGTATTGTGACATTCTTGAGTAGGCTGCTAAGGAAAATCTGGCTAAAATTTGCTGTTAGTATTACACATTTGGATTTCCCAGTGTGATGCTAAATATTCTGAATACTTTTTGTTTTTCATTGTCTTTAGGATCTGCTCCCAGGCCTGCACTTACATCACAGGAGAAGCTCCACATTTTCCACCACTCTGGCCCTTTCCTTCCTCCACTCTCTCTTCCCAGTGTCTTCCTCGCCAGCCCTTCTGGGAACATTCCCTCTCGCCACACAGCTGTAGTAGTACCCCAGGTGACTGACTTCCTGCCACCCCTCTTCATCCCTTACAGCTTCCTTCTGTTGTGGCCTGACACCCCCTCTCGCAAGCATTGTGGGTCATCTTCAGGTCCCCAGAGAAACCCAAACCGCCCTCTCTGACAGTCCCTTGCTCTTGCCCTAAAACTGCCCCTTCGTGTGTCCCATTTGTGCTGGCTCGTGTTTTCTGTCTCGCAAGCCTTAATTAAAATCTTGCTCACGCCTCTCATCCCCACGACTGACTTCTCTCCAGTGCTATGTAGGCAGCAATGTGGAATGGCTGCAATTAATTATCCTGAAGCACCTTGATGAGCTCTCCTTACCTCCAATGGCATCTTTGCAGGTTTTCAAGACAGGGCTAAGAAAACACAGCAGAAACCTCGCTACTCTTCAGAGGCGGTGAAATCATCCTTGCTAGTGTCTTTGCCTGTGGGTAGGACCATGTTCTACATCGTCAGGCTCCATAGACTTTCCAGGCTGTTCATGTTGCGCTGCAGGCCGGCCTGTGAGGCCTGGCGCTTTACCCAAACAGCAGAGGAAAGGAGGTCCCTTCAGGGAAGATGGCTTGAGGCGCCCCTTTATCAGATCTGTGCCTGCAGGAAAAGGTGGGGACCTGTATCTAATGATCAGCAGCCCGGACTATGGCTCCACTGACTCACCTTTGCTCTTCATTTTTCACTCAATTATTGCAGTGTTTATCTTCTTTTGACTAGGTTGTGCCTCTTTCTACTGTATTGGGTTGAATCAGGTGAAATTGCTGATGTTCAATATTTTTGCCTTACAAAAAAGGTGGCAGTTTGATATGGCTGAACCTGATGTGTGTGAAATGCATCTTAAGGATTTTTCTAGGTGAAAGTGGGAGCATGCATATGTATGAGTATACTCTCAAATTATTTTATTTGTTCATAATTATTTGTATCTGTCTTTTCATCTTCTAGGTTTTTGAGTTACTGATTTTTTTATTTTACATTTTTATTATAATTTGAAGACCTATAAACTCTCAGAAATAATGGGGCCTGGTTTTAAATACAACTCTGTACCAGTAATGTGATGTCCTCATTAGTTTAAGGCCTCTGGTTCAGAATGTGGGCTACTTTTAACAGTTAAAAATAACACTTGACTTAACAAATCTATACTTTAGAAATAGTGAAAATTAATCATGCAAAGAAGTGTAGAACTGTATGAGATTAATAACCATTTTCAAGTTCTTTAAGAATATATGAAAATTACATACAAAGAACTGGTAGAATATTAAAAGTTACCTGTTTGCTTGACACAACCTCTTGATTTTTAGCAGGTAAATACTTTTTTGCAACTTGGTTTTAAGTTGCTTGAAAGGTACTAAAATAATAGGCTTGAAAATACCATAACAGTGTTTCTTGAAATGGAATCTAGTTCAACTTTTTCCATGTTAGATTGACTTTGTGAAGTATTTTAATATGTGCTAAGTATTTCACTTCACTTTACAGTAGTAACACAGTCTCAGTACAGAGAAAATAAACAAAATACGTCTAAGCAAAGGATAGTTATTTGCTGGTACACTTGATATTCCAAGTCTTCCAACTGGCAGCTTCTGTGTGATGTGTGGTTTTCTCTGCCTTTCAGGTACTACGCCATCATGGTGACCATGTTCTTCACCGTCAGTGTGGTGAACAACTACGCCCTGAACCTCAATATCGCCATGCCCCTGCATATGATATTTAGATCTGTAAGTCCCCCCGCACCTCTCAGGTTCCTCCGAAATATACCCCTAGGTGGTAGGTTGAAGACATGGGAACCAGACACGTTTTAATCAATGAAGTTGAAGGGGCAAGAGCTGGTCTGGTGAAGGAGAGAGCGAGGCTGGCTTCAGCGAGAATTAGGCAAAAGGAGAAATGTAGGGAGGAGTGGCTTGTGTTTATCTGTCTGAGATCTTATGGGTCATTAAGAACAGGAAAGTTAAAATTCCCTTGGCAACAGATTTTACCTTTAATTTCCTTCATCTGGTGGATTTTTGGGTTTACATTTGCTATGAATGTTACTGTACTTGTTTCTCATCACTTCCTTTAGCTTCTTCCATAGAGTTCCTTTTACTTCTAGTATATGAAATGGATTCTTTTCTGATTTTTTTTTTTTTTAGTCAGAGACAACATCATTAGAGAAAGAAATTCTGGATGAAAGGAGGGATTCTCCCAGAGTGGTGGAGGTTGTCGTCTTCATCTCACGTTTGGAGGGAGAGCTCTGACTTGAATATAAATATGACAGTGTTCCCCAGAGAGCAGGAAAGACCACAAGGGGAATGTGGTTAGGATTGCAGAAGTATGCAAAATGGAATTGCAACACTTCTGTGTGGTCTGAGTTTGTTAAATCAAAGGTTGGAAAATATCACAGCCACTATAATTTCCAGTTACAAAGCCACTGTCATGACTAAGATGGCCCTCAAGGCATGGAGCCCTTCCAGAGAAGAGACCCCTGCCTGGCCTTTCTTGGTAACCCCAGGAGAGCGGAGAAGCTTATCAAAAACCCTGATAAGCTAGATAAATGGAAAATTTAACAAAAAGTCATCTATCATTTGTTCTGAGCCCTAGCTTAGCTATCATTGATTATTGAGAAGTGACCACTTTTATTCTTTGTCCTCTTGAAACTTTTATTGTTTTACTTGATAGATATTTGTGGTTCATACTTTTTTCCGTAATAACAACACCTGACTTCACATCCTAACCCCCTTTCCCACTGTTTTATCCCTGTCCGTGTTCGGGCATTCCTTGAAGTACATTATTTTCTCCCCCTGGGTTACTAAATCTCTGTTGTCTCTATTTACAGGGCTCTCTAATTGCCAACATGATTCTAGGAATTATCATTTTGAAGAAAAGGTAAACAACCCACCTGTATTTTATGTGGGGGAAGCAACCTGGCCCTCCCTCTACAGATCCGTTTGGTTCTTTCTCTCATGGTGATGCGTTTGCTCTGGGCCTCAGCCTTGTCGCTTAGTTCTCTGTGTGAGGATGCTGAGCACTCCTGAGACAGGTGACCAGAGAGGAGAACCCACCAGAATGCTGGAGCAGCGGTCTCTCTGGGTACAACTAACTAGCCTGGGTCATTTTTGAAGTTTTACTATTATATTAACCTACGAAACCAGCTGACCTTAAGTTCACTGACCCATTTGGATGGCGATCACTGCTAGTTCCTATGACTATTTGACATTTCAATTCGAATTAATTTACAAAGAAATGGAATTAAATATTTCGCTTCAGTTTCACCAGTCACTTTGTGATTGGTGGCCATAGATGACGACTGGCAGCCATCCTGGAGACCCCAGAGATTTCCAACCCCATAGAAATTGGTGGGACAGAGCCCGTAGGCAGGTCCTGATCAATACAACATGCGGAAAGAATAGATAATGAAAACAGTTCCTGAGTAGCCCTAGGGGCCAGAAAGATGGAGTGACATGTCTCAGGACAGTTAAGCTCTCTTTGGGATGAAGCAGGAGAAATATCACAAGTACCTGGGGTTTTTCTTCGAATTTGTCACCCATCCTTCTCTCGAGCCCCACTCCTGACTCCCAGGGAGCAGGAGCTTGGAAAGCGACAGCACAGTCGAGAAGTCTCAGAGGAAGCTCACTTCACTGCCAGCTCCAGACTGCTCCCGCCGATGCCATCTTCTCAACACAGTTATCAGCCCCGGATTAGTATTCGGTACCTGCCTGCACAGTAGCTCTTCATGCAGATGTGGGAACGTAACTTACATTCCCGGCTGTGACTTACAAGGGCTACTGGCCCGTCTCACGAGGCTCCTTGTCTCCTTATCTCTGGTGCATTTCCGGACAAGCGGCACATTCTTGGCTGTGTTGGGCGTGACCCCTAGTTATGAATAGCGTAGAATTCACCTTGGGACGACACAGTCCTGCCAGCCTTTGATTTAGTTTCATAACAGGAATACAAAAGAACATTGTGGAAAAGGAATGTGCTTTCCTGGCACGACCCTCCAAAGCCAGGCACCTCTGAGACACCTCATTTAAAAAAAATTTAAATATATTTATTTATTTAACATCATTCTTCACTTTGTGCCTGTTTTCACTTTGGTTGTAATCCCCGGGGACTTCCCACCACCAGCTCACCCACGTGCCATAACCACAGTCCTGGAGACATCTCATCTTGAATTTCTCTGGGTGAGCTTTCTGACTTGTCAGTGTATATCACCAGGAGAACAGGAATTTCTGTACATTTACTAATGTGGTGAATTAATAACTTGTTATCATCTTTTATTTTCCTTGGATAGAAGCCTGTCATGTGCGTTCCTCATTCCAGGATTGGAAGATCAAATCTGGCTTTACCTGAGCCATGCCCTTCAATCCTTCTTGGCCTGAGTTACAAGCCTGTCCATCTTGACCCTTCCAAACTGAAGCGACCCCTTGTTTTCCTATGCTTGCTCTCCCCAGCCACCCCTTCTCTGGTGCCATTTTCCCCACTTTGCCACTTATCCAGTACTTTCAGCCATATCAGAGACCCTGTGACCAGAACTATACAAAGTAGTTGATTAGAAAAACTCAGATGATCCATCCTGTAAATTTAATTTCTTTTCTCTTGCCTGAGGCCTTTTGCTTTATTACCCAGAACCTGCTAGGGAAGCTAATGATGCTGTTTTAGTTAATGTGAAACATCGTTGTTACTACCGCTAACAGTTTGATTTAGTCTAATATTCCCGCCTTTCTTCAACTACGCCAACACTGAAAAATATTTAAGAAGTTCGGAGACTAAACAAAAAAATCCTCCCTTGAAAATGGCCAGTGAGATGATTTTCTGAGTTAGGAATCCTGCTCCTTGTACGTGCCTTGTGTTCCTCCTCTGGGTGGTGCATGTCTTCACATGCCGGTCTGGGCCCCCCAAAACAGGAAGCGGCACAGGCCAGTTAAGGTCTGAGTCTGGTTTTCATTTGGATGCTTAAGAGAAGGATGGAGTGTCCTCTGGCCCGTCTTTTTTGGGTTTTGTTTCCTGATGAAACAGTCAACGGGTGGACAAACTGTTCTAAACAACGCCCAGGAGAGTGTTGTTTCGAAACCATCGGCACCCTGATCCTCTATGCACAGAACTTTATGCACACTGCTGGGATGGGCAGAACCCCTGGGCCATATCGTGGGGATTGGTGCTCACCTGCATAGCTGTGTGTGCATCCTGTGGGCCTTTCATCTTGCTTTCCTGAGGTGCTCTTGTTCTTCTTTGTGCAGATACAGTGTCTTCAAGTATACCTCCATTGCGCTGGTGTCTGTGGGGATATTTATTTGCACTTTCATGTCCGCGAAGCAGGTGGTAAGAATCACTCACAAATTATTTCTATTCACTGCTTGCCATGGGGGCTTAGGGGCCAGCCACTTATTAGTGGGATAAAATAAATTTAAATGCTTAAATGTAATATAAGGATTCAAGTCTTTGAAAGAGTGGAATAGAAGAAATTGTTTCCCTTGAGTCTAAACACCTTGTGTTACGTTCTGGTCCCCGGACCTAATCATTTTCCTTGTTTCCTAGACTTCGCAGTCCAGCTCAAGTGAGAATGATGGATTCCAGGCATTTGCGTGGTGGTTACTAGGCAAGTATAGTAATTACGAGAAAGCTAATTGCCTCTGTAGTTCTGTTTGCTGAGTTTTCTCCTAAGGGACATGTTTCTTGGCCAGAAGCTTTGGCTAAACAAATTATGCTTTGAAAGGGAGAGGCACCTGGGATCATATGTCTCTCAGCCTCAGTGTTCAAGAAATGAAACAAGAAAATGCCCACGTTCCTGGGAATGTGTTCTGGGACCTGGACCTGTGTTTTGCAAGGTCACCACTGGTCTACTGGTCTAGGAAGAAAGGCACTTGTCTGCTTGCCCGTCACACTCTGGGAGCAGATCTTGTGTCTCCTGTTTCTTGATCCGTCTGCTGAGTAGAAACTTCTACAAAAAAGGACACATTTCAGCAGTCGAATCTTTACATTTTCAAGGAAATTTTCTACATCTTGGATTTATTTTTTTCAAAAGTTAGCTGTTCCATGGGGCAGTGTTCCCAGTCCCGACTGACATCAGTCTGCTGGGGGATTTTTTAAACAAAGGTATCTCTTTGTGGAATTAATTAGACAACTCCTATAGAGCTTTGTCCTCATGTGGGACACGGGGTGAAGCCCAGCTACTTTCAGAATGAGACTGATTAAATGGAAAGGCAAGGACAAAGGCTAGATTCTTGTTTCTTGCCTTTGACACTTTTTCCCTTTCAGTTGCCATTGTACACATAGATCTTTTTTGAGCTATTGGATAAATAGCCAATAAGAAAAATTTGCAGAGGGTATAAACGTATAGTTCATGGGGAACAAAATTTAGGGTCAGTAATTTTGTGTTTAACTTCACTAATTTAGTATCAAACTAATGCAAAACCAAAACAGTATCTTTTTATTTCTTGCTTTGCTATATTGGCAAGATAATAAATGAGTATTGTTATTGCTGCTAAGAGTACAGTAAGATAGTCATTTTCTTGTAAATTTTTATAGTATATTGACACAGACTTTCTGGGAAAAACATTATGTATTGAGTTTTTTTATATGTCTCAACTTTTGACTCAGCAGTTTCAATTATGAGCATTTATCCTGAAGAAATAGTCAATGTTTGGTTTAAATATTTATACCCAAGAATGTACATTGATTATATTCCTGGAATAATTGGGAGTTATCTAACTGATCTCTGTCCTCATCTTGTAAGATATCTCAGTATGTTCCATCCACATGGTAGGGTGACATGCAGCCATGAAATCATCTTTTTGAAAAAATGAAAGTCCAGGGAAAAAGTCATGAAAACAACATATAAAATTGTATTTATTCTGACGCTGTCTTAGTAAAAAAACAGATGCAGACATGTCCGGAGAGAAAACAATCAGTAAGGACTGGACAGTAATATTGTGGTTGGTTTTGATTTTTGTTTGAAGTTTTGTACATATTGCCAGCCTTTAGACAACTATTAGTGTCGGCAAATTAGCAAATGCAGACCCTGGTAACCGATGTTTGTTTTCTAGGTATCGGAGCTCTGACTTTTGCTCTTCTCATGTCAGCAAGGATGGGTATTTTCCAGGAGACGTTATACAAACAGTTTGGGAAACATTCCAAGGAGGCTTTGTTTTACAATGTAAGCGATGGCTTAACCTGGGGGCAAAGAAAATCACCGAGTGGCAACATGTTATTTCCAGTCAGTTCTGGATCAGTTTATTAACCAATGAGTTTTTGTAGTTCATAGACTGAAGTACTTTTACTAGGCCACATGTGTATTTGCAGCCACAGTTGTCTGCCCAAGATGACAAGAGATCAGCTATGTGAACTACTAAAGGGTCCTGCTTGCCAGGAACTACCCACAGGGGCAGGACCTTCCCCTCCAGGTTCCTGTAGAGGAATTTAGGCTATGGAATATGGAAACCTAGGAAAGACCAATAGGCTGCAGCGCACCGAACCCTGGGAGGCGGGCCTTGGCAAGTGAGGGCTCAGAGGACAGAATGGGAGAAGTCCTTCAGATGGGCTTTGTCCAAGGAGAGTTGAATTAGCTAACTATGTATGCTGACACTGCTTTGTTTTAAACTGCTGATCTGAAGCCGCTTCCTCCTGCTTTCCGCTGCCCCCTCCCTTTTGCAGCTGAGACAGTGCCCAAAGCACAGCTCCTCCTGGAAGGGTGGCAGGGTGATACAGTTTGCTGGACTCAGTAACCCCAGAGATTCATCCACAGCCAATGTTTTGTCCTGAGGCTGCGGGCAAACAATTCTGAGATACTTAATTGGAGTTACAGCACAGTGTGTCTGGGAATTTTGAAAACAAAGACACATCTTATTTGGTTTACAGTACCTGGCACATGACAACTGCTCAGTAGACGTGAGCTTTGGTTCCTTGGGATTGTGGGGTGTGGTGGGTGGTCTCTGCCAAGCACCTTAGTCTTGGGGGGGTCTCTTTGCCGTTTCTTCTTCCTCTTCCTCTTTTTAGTCTTGTCTTCATTTCTTTCCCCTCACCTTGTATTGTCTTGAGTCTCCTTTGCCACTTGTTTTTAAAAGTACCTGAAATCTGCCTTCACACTCTTTATGATTTGCACATCCATTATACTTGCTTCACCATTCTCAAAAAGAGCAAACCCTTCTGGGCCAAATGCCTCGATTTAAGTCTCCCACTCCCTTTTGTTGAGGAAAGTGATAGCCTTAGGCTCCCCAAGGGCCAGAATGGTAGTCCAGGCTAGGTGGGTCTGGCTGCCATCCTGGGGTGAGAGCCTGGATGCCTGTAATGTAGTGAATTACTACTGCCTTCCTTTTCTTGATGGTTGTTTGTCAGGGGACATGTAAAACTTTCAGCCTTTGTAAAGCTACTCTAATTATTCTGTAATGTTGTTTCGTTTAAATTTATATGAAATATTTCTTCCCCTAGCATGCCCTTCCACTTCCTGGTTTCATCTTCTTGGCTTCTGATATTTATGACCATGCAGTTCTATTCAATAAGTCTGGTGAGTTTGGGGTTCTCCAGTAGAATGTCCTGGCAGTTTCTGAGGCAGAGTTTCAGTGTTACTCTTCCCTTGGCCACTGTTTATTTTCATGATCTTATTTCAGTTACCAGCCCTGTCCAAAGCACCCACAACCACCTCCCAGGACTACACAGTGCCATTAGTCACCAGCTGGGCAGCAAAAGCTTTTACAGGCACGCCTCAATTATTTGCAAATGAAGTAAGATAATATCTTCAAATTTTCCTGCTTGGCTTCAGAACTTGTATGTTTGCAAATGAGTGTAGAATGTTGGAGGATTTAAGATTGCAAACAAATAGCAGTAGCACTGCAGAGACGGTGCCTCGAGAACCCAGGCAGCGTCCAGCCCAGCGCTGCTCTGCTCCCGTTCCTCCTCGGCTGCTGTGAAAAGCAGATCTGCTCCCAGACCCATTTGAGCGTCCCTGGAGTCAGAAAGGAAGCAACCGCCACGACAGGGCTGGTTTCCGAGTTACCGGTCAGCTAGGTGCAGGAGTAAGCCAAATTTGTTCAGATGTCCAGAGTGTGAGTTTAACTATTATGTTTTTCTAAGTGGCCATTTAATAAACGAGCTATAAATTTCCAGTTATTGAAAGACATTATTTATGAGATCTGATGATCTCCTAAAAAGTGTGGCCTGTTGTCCAGATGCTGAGCACACAGGAGCAGACCAGGGTCTTTAAATCACACAGTTTCACTTGGAGCTGAAGGCCAGTGTGTGTGTGGAGCTGCAGCAGGTGCTCAGCGGCACTGCTGTTTGCCGAGTTGGGAGGCCGGGGCGCTCTGAGTTGCAGCACACCTCTCCAGCCGCCTCCCCAACCCTGTGAGGAGCACAGGAGATGAGGGCGTTCCTAAGGCTCTGAGTTACTCCGAGCGCCATTTCTGATTTTTGACAAGGGCTTGTCAAAGTCTCTGAATGTCTCCACATAGCAGCGGGCGACAGAACAAACCCTGTTACCAGGTGCCGAGGTTGATTTTGGTTTGGTGACCGGGAAACTTCTTCTAAAAGTCTCAGGGCTGGGAGTAACCTACAGTTTTCTTAAATCTGCCTTCAGCTTGTTTAGAATCATCCCTACATTAAGCATACATGCTTTTTCTTTTTCCTTGCTTGTCTAAATGTCTCAGGTGGACCTGTTATCCTTGAAATTTCTCAGAGCAGAATAGCCCACTAAAAAGTGTTAGCCATTCTAATTGCTTCTTTCCTCAGCAAATTGATTCAGTAGCTCTCTGAAGTGGTTAAGCAGGAAGAACACTTGTTAATTTTCTTTTCATTCTAATGCTTGCTGTGTATCAAGATAGTTGAGTACCAGATTATTGGGATTTCCCACTGTTCCAGACAGATGGTCATAGCAAATTATAGCAAACTATATTTATTTATAGGGCTTTTTTTTTTTTTTCCAAAAGAAAATTCATATTCCTTTGCTAACCAGAACTCGGCTCACTTTGTTAGAGTTCCTTAAGTTAGGCTGTTTAATTTCAAAACCACAATACGGTGTAACAGTGTGTAGCAGTACTAATCTCATTTTCAACAATTCCCGTGTCCTTATTCTTTTTGATCTTGGATATTTTGTTTCTCTCCCAAATATTTACTGTGCAAACCTCATTATAAAATACTAACTTAAGAAGTTATTGAAAAGAAGAAAAGTTATAATTCCATTGCCCTATATACCAGATAATTTAATTGTACTAGTTTCCAGACCCTGTCTACACAAGTTCTCACCTAGTAGTCTTTATGTAGATAAAATTTTATTCGTGTTTTCTCGTCTTCATTCTAAGTTTTCCTTAATGTTATTTTGATAATCTTGATGATTTTTTAAATCAAAAGTGTAACACCTCATCTAGCTTAGGTACCTTGCTTAAACAGCCTCTGTTCTATATAGAACATTTAGAGTTATTCAGTTAGTCCTTGTTATTGCTAGTACTACAGTGAATGAAGAAATTTGTTCTTCCTTTAAATTATCTAGGATTAATTCCTAAGAATGATTGTCAGTACTTTTGTGACCCCTTCATGAATATTAGAAAATTAAATTTTATAGACAGCGCCAATTTATACTCCCAGCTCCATTTCCAACTTGCCATATGGAAGTTCTGTCCATACGTGGTAGTCACTATGAAATGGTATCATATTGTTGAATTGGGAATTCTTTGATTCCTTGCAGGGTTGAGCGTATTTTCAAATGGTTTTTAGTTACAGCTATCTCTCCTCTTGTGTTGTTAGTTAAGAACATATCATTTTGAACCTCTCTGTGCTTCACTGTCTGTCTTTGTAAAGTGGGCTCCTCGTCAGTAAATGGTACAGTTTATTTTAAAATTAAAACAAATTGTGATTTGTTTTAAGAGACTCATTTAATAGCCCTTGAAGCTGGTGTAGTCTGGCACCAAGGCAAATAATGTGTGTTTGGTCCAGCTCTGTCTGCAAGGGAAGTAGCATTGCTGTCTCTGTTATGTTCAGTCTGTGTCCTTTGTTCACAAAGATGGAAATGTTATCTGACTGAAGTGATCTGACTGTCTCCCCTCTCTTCCTCTCTGCAGAATTATACCAAGTTCCTGTTGTTGGCGTGACAGTGCCCATCATGTGGTTCTACCTCCTTATGAATGTCATCACCCAGTATCCTTTGGTTCCTCTGTGTTAGTTTGGTGTAGGAATGTTGCTTCTCTAACAGGGCAGTCACGTGGGTTTCATTTCAGCTAGATCTCTGCAGGGGCCCGTGTGGCTCGCCAGAGCGAAGCTGGTGCTATAGACCAGTCAGCGGGTCTCAGAGACTGTAGAGGAAATGCTTGGGGCAGAGGATGAAGTATGAGCATGTCACACACATGTTCTGAGTTCTACCTGGGCTCTTCTACAATTCTATGCTAATTCACTAGCTGTCACAAAATTCTGAAGGAAGTTTCAAATTTATTAAAATGTAAATTTTAAACAGTTCTTTTGAACAACTAAGTCCTTTATACAAACCGTGAAGTCTCTGAAACAGTGAAACATACCATATGGTGAGATTGGCCCAATTGAGTTCCTTTCTGGAAGGTGTGGCACCAGATCAGAGAGGGTGGGTGTGAGCCCCCAACTGAGTGATACGTATGTCCTGACTAGGGGGGTGACCGTTGTAACCTGTGGAAGAATCCAGACTAAGAATTATCAGGGTTTTAGGCAGTTTCAAGTTTGTATCCACACGTGGTTAGCAGGACAGGAGTTCCACAAGTTGTCCCACCAGGGAGGAACAGCTGTAGCCACACCCATGTTTTCTGGTTCTTAGAATGTGAACATTGAAGCCAGGAACCATGTCAGAAGGTCCCCCTGCCACCCCCCCCCACTCCCCCCCGCTCTCTGTCATTAGCTACAGAAAACCACCTTAACCCCACACCTCCAGGTACGTGTGCATCCGGGGTGTCTTCATCCTTACCACAGAATGTGCCTCCCTCACCGTCACATTGGTTGTGACCCTGCGCAAGTTTGTGAGCCTCATCTTTTCCATCTGGTACTTCCAGAACCCTTTCACTCTGTGGCATTGGCTGGGCACCATGTTCGTCTTCATTGGGACCCTGATGTACACAGAAGTGTGGAACAACCTGGGGGCCAGGAAAGGCCAGCCTCACGCAGAGGACAAGAGGAAGTGAGGCGTGCTGGAACATGTGTTGTAGTTAGTGGAGGGCTGGCCCTTGTCCTTTTTGTTAATGCTGAGTTCCCCCCCCCCCACCTCCCAGTTTGAACCAACCATGTTGCAGAGACTCCTCAAAAGGAGGAGACTTCTGAGCTTACTCCTGACTTTATAGGCCAACATTTGTGGACTGTGAGTAGGGACCCCTCGACCCTGCAATAGAAAAAAAGAACAGTTCTCTACCACCAAACAGCCTGTTCACTTTATTCCCATTTGGTTGACCTGAATGTTGAGTATTGCTGATTGAATTCCGAGTCACCAGGGCTCAGAGCCGTGCTCTCGATTGAGATTCTCTCTCTGGTTGCTGTTCTGAAGCTTCTCTGCTGTGCCAGTTGTCATCTGTGCCTCCTCCCTGTTCCTCTACCCTTGTGCCCCCATGTGCCCATCGGACACTGCAGTGTCATCATTAGGAGCCAGTGAGTCCCAGGCCTGTGCTGGGGAAGGGGCAGTGCTCTGTGATCCGAGCCTCTACAGCGGGCTTGCTTGCTTTCCTGTGCAGAAGTCATGCTTCCACATCTTCCCTTATGTGCTTCGAGCAAACCTGCAGCCTGTCTCTACAGCACAGTGTTAGCAAGAAAAGGTTGTGTGAATCGGGAATGAGATGTATCTCTTCTCTGTCTTCTACACAATGCCCATGAGCTGAGAGCTGAGAGGGTGACACCAGCTGGGCCCAGAGGAGCTGGTCTAGGTCAGCACCCAAGAGCCACAAGCCCCCACTAGGCCCAGCCAGGCACGCACAGTGCTGCTTCCAAGTGGTTGGTAAAGTCTTTGCTGCTGGAGCACAGGTCCAGTGCCACCTCCCAGTGCTGATAGACTTGTCACGACCCCCCGGACTGATGAGTCGGGTGCATTTAATGACATGGTGCACAGTCGGGTCAAATCACAACTAAGTTGGACAAGTTTTTTCCTGTCCATCTCAGTGTTCTTGGTAGGTGTGTGCAGGTAACAGTGGTACTCACATCAACCAACCAGCCATGTTTCTCTTGCTCGCAGAGGCCCCTTAATGTTTTACAGGGTACAGAAATTGAGGTGTGGCTCTCCGGGGCTCCCTGCCTGGTGAGCAGTGTTTACTCCACTGTTGGGAGCTCTCAGCTGGGTTCTGAGAGGAGTGTCTGGCAGTCACTTCAGGGAGTCACTTAAGCATCCTTGGTATTTTTGTTAATGTAAAATATGGACACTGTTTCCCCACTTCAAAGTCTTGAGACCAGTTCGTTGTTCTGGCCATTGACCACTGTCCAGGCCTGTGAAGGTCTGTACCGGAAGATGCTGGCTAAGTAGGAATCTATTTATGGGATCAAAAGATACTTTGACTTTTGCAGGGTTCTTTAGCCTGATGGTATGTTAAATAGCCTCTTACAAACAAAACCAACAAGAGCCATTTTGGTGATTGTTTTCTAGAAGAGTCTAGAGACTATGTGTCTGGAGTCCTGCCACCTTCCCAGCACATGTGCATCGCTGGCCTAACAGAGCACCCGCCTCTTAAACTGACAGGAATTGTCAGCTGTCAGTCACTGAAATGAGTTGAAGTACACAGACATTTCACTGGGCACATTAGGTTTTAGAGGCTGGCTTTTGAGTGTTCCTCCAGTCTGAACAACTGCTGGTCTGGCTTTGGAGGGTCTGTGTGGCTAGATGGGGCCGTTGTATAACTGTGAGCATTGAGAGGAGCAGGATGCCTGAAACGCCCGGTGACTCGACTTCTCTCGCTCGTAGCTGGATGGAGGAAATACGCCTACCAGATCACAGGCAAAACTTTTCTCAACTATTTTAACTGCTTCTTTGCCTTGGTTACCTAATTTTTCATTGCAGGTCGATACTGACTGCAGTCTCTGGCAAAAGGGCACATAAACCATCTTGTAGAGGGGCAGCCTCATACTTACCTGGAGGACCGATGTCTGGGTCAAGACCATGTAACTTGTGAGAGGAAAATATAGTGGTTTACAAAAGCGATTGTGTTAAAACATCCTGCCTGCACAGATCAGAGAGTAAATGACAGTAGGCAAAAACAAAAAACAAACAAACAAACCAGCGACTGTGTACCCACTTACAGCCTCGCCGTGTCACAAGTACACTAACAGAAAACCTGGGAATTTGAATGACTATTTTTTTTTAAGATTTATTTATTTACGCATATAAGAACTGGGCTACAGGTCAGAGGTGTGGAAGGATGGGAGGACTCAGAGACAGAGTGGGGAGCAGAACAGGCAGATTGAGGAAGTCCACTGCTGAGGGGGACAGTAGGTGAGACAGGAGAGGACTGCGGCGCCACGTGGGTCAGCTCCCTGGCTGGGGGTCAAACTGGTGCTGCAGTGGCTGCAGAGAGCTTCATAGTGCTGCGCTTCAACCCTGTGCCTCCAGAGAGGGCCCAAGGAATCTGAATTACCTTAATGTCAGTCTGTCCTTCACCACAGTTCCACTGTCATCTTATAGATGCCACCCATTTTCATTAGTAATTAATTTTTGATCCTTTATTTTCTTTTTCATCCAAACAAATCACCCATTGACACACACAGAAGTATCCAGACATAATCCAAACTGGCTTTTCCCCCCTTCCTGCCTAGTTACACAAAATGAAATGCTTCCATACTTTATTTTGGTCAGCACTATGCGGGAGGAAAACGATGAAAGCTGAGTTCATCTGTGCGACACAACATCTGGAAAGATGGCCCGACATTTTGAAAGCCTCCTAGTCACTATCTTGTGCTAGTTCCTCAAACCCCTTTCCTTCTGTTTTTTAACCTCCAGTGTCTTCACTGCAGTCTCCTTCCTGTAGTTTTCTACTGAACTTGAGCTTGTTTCTGCCTATGCCTCTACTCTTTGCCCTCTGGATGCTTTTCTACATCTGGATTGCTACAGAGTATTAATATCTGCAGAGTGGTACGTGGCTACACCTGGCTGCCAGTCTTGCAGCGAGGGCTGTGAGAATGCCTGGCACAGGAGGCGGACGTGTGTGTGATCAGTATGAACATGAATGTGTGTAAAAGTGTGCATCTCTCACACTCAAGGTCGGGCTTGGGCCACTACCCTGTATTTGGAAAACTGGTTTTCTTATTTTCTTCAGATTCTCTCTAGCTGATGTCACCCAACAGTGCCAGGTGCCTATGGAGAGGGAAAGTGAAAGCCTCAGATTAATTCTGAATCCATGAATGAGGCCTGTACTGGGGCAGGTCTGGGTGGGGCCAGTTGGCCTCTGAGTGCCACGAAGCCCCACTCAGGGTCTACTGTGCATGAGAAGGCTCAGATCTGCAGTCAGGCCCTTCGCTCACACTTCATTGCTCTTTGGCTTGCAGCAAATAGAATTCTGAGTGATCCTGCCCTTATCCAATCCACAAAGCCTTTTGGTCTCAATAACTGTATTCTGAAAAAAGTGAGTGTCGCTTCATTCTCAGGTCAAAAGAACTGTCAGTATAGACAAACTCCTATTGCTCTTGATTGGCATGACTTTTGAACACAAGTGGAGCCATATTGGTAAGCAAGACACTGACAGTAAGCTGGGGGATGTTCCCTGCTACCCAGCCAGGGGGGGAAACAGGCCCCTTTTCACTAGTGTTCTCTGCTTCCAGCAGTTTCCTCACAGTACCTTTTGCAGGGAAGGGAGGGACCGATGAGGTCTTCCTCGTTTCTCATAGTCTCTTTCCACTCAGCATCAGACTGCATTTCACAAATAAATGGATTTTCACCCAAACTATTACTCCATCAGCTTTCCGAGAAACTTGCTAATGGTTCTGCATACCGATTGCCATCCTTCATCAGCTGGTTGGCAAGAAAGCAAGTTCAAAGAATCATTCTTCGAAGCTAGAGGAGGCGTGAAGACAGGTGAAGGACACACCACATGTTGCCAGCAGCAGGCAGCTTTGTGCTCTGATTGCTCTCTGGTGGCGTGAGGGAGACGTTTTATATTTAGCACCTCGCCTCCTCTGATGCAGAGTGCAAGGACGTGCCTGTCAGAACAGCATTAAAGAGTCTGTAGAGTCTGAGGTAGGCTCCTGGGTGACCCTCCCGTACTGGTGTGTTTGGTTTGCGTTGGCGTCTACTTGGAGTTCGTCTGTTTGCTATTCTTAACGTCGTACAAAGCATGAGATGCTTCATCTGCTTAAATCACTAACCACCCTAGCAGATTTCCTCAATTTTAAATCAAGGCAAGCTGGGAGAGTACCAGAGATGGGGGGTGGGGAGCTGGGTCTACCTTCAGAAGGAACAAGACCTGTACTTTTAAAGAAGAAAAGGTGGTCGTCAGGCCTTTAATACATGGAGTTATTTCCATCTTTGAGATGTCATCAGGGTGTCTGGAAGAGAAACAGTGGTTATTCCCCACACTATAAAGTATCCTTGTGTATCACTTGCACTCACAAGTCACTCGCTTTCCTCCCAGCATCCTCCAAAATAGAGGCTGGCTCTTGTAGGGAGAGCTGTGGGATTTCCAGCCCCAGTGCGCTGTGTGAAGAACACAGATGGGGGAGGCAGGACTGGGTGGTAGCAGAGATTGTAGAAGCGCTAAAGGACATTAGTGAGTATTCAGCTTTCAAGCTGTGTAAATATCAAACATTGGCTTCCGGCCTTATGAGTTATTTGAGCAGAGAGTAAAGGAGGAAAGGGAGATGGTGTGAATAAAATATTTTGCCAAACACACTGAATAAGTCTTGTTACTGTGATTTCTTACAAAGGATGGATTTTTAGCTTCTGAAACAACTCCTCACACACACCTGGTTTTTATCTTGAATTTCTAATCATTGTTTCTTAATAAAAGTGATGAATTTCTTGCAGGTGTCTCCAATCACCATTACTCTTGCGTGCTTGCGTGCCATTTCAGAAGCTCGCCAGCGTTTGCCTTGCTGGCCCGGTGGTGCCTTTCACTGGCAGTGCATGTGGCAACCTGTCTTCCTTGTGTCTAGCAGCTGGGTCTGTCATAAAACACTTCTCAGGCTGCAGATCTGTTTCTACTTCAAACATTAAAAGAGGCTCAGCCTTCACTGGGAGGTTTTATTGGTTCATGGCAGCCAGGTCCTGTAGCGAATCTCTCAGAACCTTCTCTGCCTCAGTAGAAATACATTGATTTTTTAGAATGCTTCAGTGGCCGCTCTTTTATCTTCAATCTGTTGCTTTTAAATAAATCTTCACACGGAAGCAACTTTCAAAGCAGTTTTCCATCGCTGCTCTATTTTTAAATCATGTTACTCAGTAGCCCCAAGG